TATCATGTTTTAATCTTTGGATGGTTAGGAAAAAAGAGAAAGTGACTGAAAATCAATAGGAGAGAGAACGTGTTCATCCAATCATATAAAGCCAAATTTGGTGTCAAAGAGATTGTATTAAATAAAAGAGTTCAATGGTGGTGGTTTTGTTCTTTAAATATGTAACAAAAAAAAAGTAGATTGGAATTTATAAATTTTATTTTAATTTTGATTGATTCTATTTTTTTAGACCAATTAAATGGTTTTTTAGGATTGAGAATTTTATTATTAAGATTTTTAGGATACGTGTTGAGGTGATTGTGTTGAGGTGATTAGGTAAAAGCTAATGTGGTTTTAGGATATAAAAACTAGATCTCTATTTTATGGTCATCAAAAACTAAAAAAATGCTCTAATAGAAAACATGTTGTCATTAAAAAAAGAAGAAGCCTAGAATGGACAACTCATTGTCTATTTTTTTTATATATTAAAAAATTAAGTCCGACATGTGGACTTGATTTGTCAACATTATAATACTTGACCTTTCCTTTCATACTTTCATTAATTTAAATCTTAATTAATAACCTATCTTTTATCTTTTAAATTGTTTAGTATAAATTTATTTTTATATGGTAATTAATCTTTTGAATTGTTTCTATAATTTCATAACACTTAAAAGAGATTATTATAATTTATCTTTAATTTTTTTCTTTTTAATTCTAGATAAATAAGTTGTATTTGCATGATACATATATAAAAATAAAAATCACTACTAGAACTAACCTCTAATATAAATAAAAGAAAACATATTAAATAAAAAGGATTATCAAAGTAAATATTTACATCTATCTTTTACTTCTTACATTTACTTTACATTATTTTTTCAAAAGAATTTAATTAACACCTTCTCTCTAAATTTTTAAATTGTTTAGTTTAGTTTTTCTTAAAAATAATAATTAATTTTTTGGATTGTTTCTATAATTTTATAATATTTCAAATAGATTATTGAAACTTATTAGATAGATAAGTTATATATACATGATACATTTATAAAATCATTTCTAATAGCCACCAAAATTATCCTCTAAAATGAATTAATAAAAGAAAACGTATGAAAAAAAATATATGAAGTGAAATATTTGCAATTGTAGATATTTAATCAACTTCTTGCTATGGTCTTTAATCAGAGTACACTCTTCTTTTGATTTAGTGGTTGATGTATTTTTTATTTTATTTTATTAAGCATATAAACATATGTTTTTTTTTTTGTTTTTCAATTAAAAAAATCATTATGTAAAACCAAAAGATTCATATATCAGTCTTGCATTGAAAATTAATTTGGTATCTGACGCGAAATATAGTATGGGCGCGCCCGCTAGATGCAAAGGCAATTATTGTTTCTGTATACACTCATTGTTTCTTTTTCTTTGTTTATTATGGATACTAATCTGCAAAGGCAATTTTTTTTTTTTTTTTTTTTTTTTTTCAATTATTCATCTGATTCATTGCTGCTATTCATATATGGATACTAATCTGCAAAGGCAATTATTCATCTGATTCATTGCCGCTATTCATCTCATAATAAAACAATTTTGAAACAGATGTTTGACAATAAAAATTTGTTCAATTGGAATATTAGGGATCAAAATAGAATAAAATATCGGGAGTTTATATTAACGAGAATAATTGAAGAAGTCCTACGACACTGCAGCAACGGATTCCAGTTTTGCATATTATCAACTGCGCATCTGCTGAATTGTTTTAGGCTAAACTTGCTTTTCAAAATTCAAAAGCTCAGGGAGGTTCGTGATCACAATGAGTACTCTCCACTACATGGCTGTCCAAGTACAGCAGCAGCAGCATTAAAAGCTGTGCCTATTGGAAGAGCCTCCTTGTCAATAAAGAAGGAAGGAGGGTGAAGTGGATTATGTGATTCCAGAGTCTCGCTCACTGTCCCAATTAAAAATAGTGCAGCGGGCATCCTTTTCGAGAAGAAGCTGAAATCCTCTGACCCCATGTTTAATGGGAATAGTTGGGTTTCCCAAGTAAGGCCTCTCCAACCTTCTTTGCATGCTTATACACTGCTTCATCAACCATAAACTTCACCGTGGCATTACACCTACGCACTGCTAGCACTACGATCTATATATAAAATCAACATATTCATTTGTTTTACTTCATTTCTTCTTTCATTGATTAAACATGACAACAAAAGGATGCAAAAGATCAGGGAATGAACTGTGTGTTTAACCTCGTCAATCCTTTTTCTGGAGGCAGGAGATACCTTCATTCGTCAACTCCTGAAAGTTCCACCGAATTTCACGGATTCTGGAATTACATTTCCAGCTCTGCCGCCTGCTGTGTATGCTATATTGTCACCACCAATATAATCCACAATGGATGAAATTAATTTGAGTTCATTGTAATTCAATGCATGAATTGCCGGAAAGGATGCTAAGGCTATTGGTACCAGGACTAACCCCATCAAAGAATTGATACAAGATGCGAACAATTTTACATTGGATTTGGTTCCTAGATGAGCTCATAACCTAATGATGGTAGATTAAAAGATTCATTATATATATATATATATATATATATATATATATATATA